GATCTAAACCAGGGTCAGAACAGAACATGATCTAAAGAGAAGATACAAATTGAGCCTGGGTTAAGTACGACTTTGTGACAGACCCAGACATGTGAGGAGTACCTAAATAAGCATTTTGGCCAAGGGATGTTGTTCAATACAACTGCTCATGTAGTGAGTAAAATGTACCACATTTAAAATATACAAAAATAGTTTTAAAAAATGTATTAGAAAGCAAGCCTATCTATAGGCTACAGAACATTATGAATAGAATACCCAAATGCCCTCAAAACAACCACGTCCAAACAAAAAACAACAAAAAATGCAGCATTTTAAATCATTTGACTAAGAAATTCAACTCTTAAAGCTCAATACAAATTTATATAACAAACTGATTTATGCAGATGTCTGGATTTGAGGTGTTGCTTTTAGTTTTCTTACTGTGGTAGAACTTAATGCTTAGGAATTTAAATAGGAACAAATTGGGCAATAAGGCCTAACTTGAGCAAAGCCGCTGTCAGATCATGCTATACATTTGACTTTATCGTTAGCATTGAGTATTGATACAATTTAAGCACAATTAGTCAAATATTAGGGGCAGCATGAAATGACTAAATTTGGTGGGCATACAGACCCAATCAGGAAGTCTAAAATGGGATTACTTCAGAATTTCTTAGAAAGCTATGTAAAGACAGTGACCTAAAAATTACACTGTCAGAATGACTCTTCTAAATAGGAAGAAAAAAAAAAAAATAAAAAAAAGACGGCTCCCTTTGAATAAAGTCTTCTCTTCCAATGTGGGAATAATTTGAGGTAGGGGGTGCTTATCATCTGTTTGACAATATTCATATTCCACTGTTACAGAGTAGTAGAAAAACATTGAGATAGTTGAAAACCAAAGAGCAATGCCTTGTACAAACATGGATGTGATTTTCATGCTTCAACAACTAACAGAAAACTATACTCACACTAAAACAAACTTAGGAAATAAAAATATTGAGATTTTAAGAATTTAAATTGGCCAGGCATGGTGACTCATGCCTGTAATCCCAGCACTTTGGGAGGCCTAAGCCGGTGAATCACAAGGTCAGAAGTTTGAGACCAGCCTGACCAACGTGGTGAAACCCTGTCTCTAGTAAAAATAGAAAAATTAGCTGGGCGTGGTGGCAGGAGCCTGTTATCCCAGCTACTTGGGAGGCTGAGGCAGGAGAATCACCTGAACTTGGGAGGCAGAAGTTGCAGTGAGCTGAGATGGCGCCACTGCACTCCAGCCTGGGTGACAGAGTGAGACTCTGTCTCAAAAAAAAAAAAAAAAAAAAAAAAGAATTTAAATTGAGTTTACAATAATGACCAACCTGAGCACAATGAACAGCAAATGTGATACTCTAGTTATAAAAATGCCAACAGCAAAGCTGCACAACTTACAGTTTTTTAAAAAAGTACAAAAACATCAACTGTCCAACAATAGGGGCTAAGTAAATTAAACTCCACTCACTCAATTAAATGATATCCAGCCATTAAAGAGAATGAAGTAAATCTCAATGTTCAGCATATATAATAATGCCCACAAGAGACTGTTAAGTTTAAAAACAAGAGACTTTGAAAACATTATGTAAAGTCAAAGATGCCAGAAACAAAAGGCCACATAGTACATGCTTCTATGTCTATGAGATGTCCAGAATAAGCAGATCCAGAGACAGAAAAAAAGATTAGTAGTCGTCAGGATATGGAGGGAGGGGCAAATTGAGATATAGAGGATTTTTGTGGGGTGGGGGTAGGGGGGGTGATAGAAATATTCTGAAAATAGTGGTGGGTGATGACTGTACAACATTGTGAATATACTAAAAAACATTGAATTGTACACTCTAAAATGGTTAAAATGGTAAATTTTGTTATATGATTTTAATTCAATAAAAACAAGTTTAAAAGGTATGTGCATGTATGTATTCTTGTGTACACAAGTCACTAAGAAGAACTGGATTCTCGTGTGTATAGTCGATAAAATGTATGCTAATCTATTTAAATGCAGTTATGGGGGGGACGAAATTTAAGGATAGAGGGGCAATTTCACTTGTTTAGTATTAATATTCTTCTGGGAAAAGGTACTGTATATATTTTAGTCTCTATTAAAATCTATCCTAAAACCCTTCTCTTGAACTCTAGAAACATAGATGTTCTGGTGGTTGCTCTGCCTCCCATTCCCCTTTCCATGTTTTTTAAAAAGTTTATTAACATAATTTACATACTGCAAAATCCACCTATTTTAGTACACACTTAGTAAACATACAGTTGTGCAGCCATCACCACTCAAAAAGTTCCCTCCTGCCTCATTTGCCGTCAATCCCCACTACCACCTTCTGGCAACTCCTTATCTGCTTTGTCTTTATGGATTGGCCTTTTCTAGATATTCATATAAATGGAATCATATGACATGTGGCCTTTTGTATGTTTTTCTTTTTTAACTTGGCATAATATTTTTGAGGGTCATCCATTTTGAAACAGCTTATCAATAATCTGCTTTTTATTGTTGTATGGAGGTATTATCATGATGACGGTGTACCTAGAAAAGGAAAAAGATTTTACATTCCAAAAATTAAAAATTAAAACACAGAAAACAAAACGGCTTTTAGTGCCATTCATTGCCTAAAGACTCTACCAAGTTCTCCAATATTATCAGACCATGAAACTGATAACTGAAAGCAAATGTGTCATTAAATTTTACAAAGACACTCCTTTGCATTATATTCTAACTAGGAAAATACAAAATAACTGTATTTTTTCCATTTGTAGGAAAATAAGAGTCATCCAACTAGACTAAAAGTATAATTTACAAGCATGTTAATGTTTCTGCTGAGTACTTCGTTTTCTCATTTTTTTCTTTATTCATTTGTGTGTGCCACAAGTGCTGATAAGCTATTGAAAACACCTTAATGCATAATTAATCACTCTGCAAACAATCAGCAGATTTAGTGCTAGTTGCAGAAATAAACCAAATTCATATATGCAAGGTAAGCCTAATTAGTTAAGCTCACAAAAAATGTAATATCCGATTTTTAGAACCTAATGTGCTCAACAAAGTATTTGTGCTTTTAAATTAGAACAGCTCCCTATTTAATTAGTCCTCATTTGAGTATGTAATCATTTTAATTTATTTACACAAACACAGGACATTGTGCTCCATCAGCAGATAATGTTCTTCATTAACCAGAGTAGGAACTTTGTGCTCAAGGGCAGCAGAAATATTTCCACCTGTGATGCAAAATCAGAACTGCATACTATCAAATTGCATTCTCTGGTTTTGATAGTCACCATCCTAAGATACATATTTGTTAATAATAACACAAGTTTGACTAAGTACTCTACCAATCCATAGAAATTAACAATTTAAATATTTAATGTTTCATTTTACCTATTGCCCAGTTACAAAATGGATATTTAATTATTAATGAACAAATTAACTTACCGAAATTCAAGTAATAGTAATGTACTACAATTCAAACTTCAATAATTTGGATGGTGGAGCAGAGTTAATTTTTTAAAAAGTTAATTCTTTCTTTGTTAGGGGTGCAAAGTAATAATAGCCTAGATTGTAGACAGTGGTGAGGCTATGTTTTATTTACACTGTATAAAAACAAACACTGTATGCTTGGCAGGCTAATGACAGATCATTCTTATGTATTTGTTAAAGCACATGAACCAATTCTTCCTTTAGGCGTTTCCAATAAACCTGGATACCTTGTTACTGGCACACTGCTTCCGCTAAATCCTAAATACACTCTAAGAAGAAAAAAAAAGAGGCTCTCTTTAACTCACCTGCTGTATGTTTTTGCTAGTAAATAACAGTTGAAATTTGACATGTCACAAAATGAGTCAGCGGATAGCATGTGATGGCAACTTTAACATGAGGAACTGTTTGGGTAGGAGGTTTGCTCTATATAGTATTTTGAAGGAAGGCCCAGTGCTACTTTTTGGTAAGTATGCCTCATTGTACAATCTGTATAATAAGAGCCGCTATATTGTTTTGAAAACTTTCCATACTACTTTATGAAAGGCTAAATACTTGCTATATACATACATTTTTTTCTTTTTTCTTTCCACAAACAAGGGAAACAACTTGTGTGAGTAACTACATCAGATCTGCTTTATATAACAGCATGGCAAATGTGGCCTTGATTTCCCATAACTCTTCACGATATACAGCATCTCTATAGAGTAATATTTTAACTTGTACAATTTCCCTTTAACCAAAGTTTAAAATTCTTCCATTTATGTGAAAGAAATCTAGTGTATACTTTACAGCAGAAAGTCTCCCTTTTTCTGTAGGTAGTAAGTACTGCAAGCATAATTGCATGATTTTAACTTTAGAGACAACTGACAACTTTGGAGCGTATCTGAGTTTAGCAATGCCTATTAAGGTTAAAAATATAAATGTGCAAAATACCAAATGTACAATGCTAAATTCTATCCCAAATCATATCATTAGATACATTTTAAAAAACTCTCTTTGATTAGGTGGCCACTATCCAAGGATAGTATCTTAAGATTTCTAGAACTTTACATTATCTGCATAACTACATCTGGAAAAAGAATGTCTATTTCCATAAGCCTAGTTACACAGCTCTTGAAAATACCCATTGATAAGCAAAGTATTATAGCAATGCCATAAAATATATGTTTACTCCATATGTAAAGTCAGCTACATGATCTTGGCATGTATACATGCATGAGTAACACACTAGTATAAGCCGACTTGCCACTCCACTGACAAGTACAGTATTTGGAGACAAGGCATGTGTCAGTCTGTCACTCCCACAGTGAGTTTCAGTTACTCGGTGACAATCACTGGATGTGTTTTTAGTTACGGTGAGTGTCTCTAGTGTTTAAAGATACACGTATGCTTTTAGCATAAAATGGGCCTAAAGCAAAGCAGGTAATCTACCTGGTACTTAACTGAAGAAACAAATCTATTCCAATGATAGACCAAAAAAAAAAAAAAAAAAAAAAGCCACATAGTACTTTTCGACACACAGTACAGCAGTCTTTAATGTATATAGAAATATGCCTACATAACAGAGTTTGATAAGAGAAGTTTTGGCTATATATGACTCTGCATGTAATCCAACTCTGGAACAAAATTTGCATCAATTCCAACTCCAAAGCATAGCTGTTTTGACAGAGCAAGTTAAGCATAAAATAGCTTTGCACCTTGTTATTTTGGAGCAAAATAAAAAATTACCACCAACAAAAAAAATCTCTACAATAACTTAAACTAAAAATGTTGTTGGGGATAGAGTAAACAACAAAAAATAAAATAATTTGATCCATATGTGGGTATTTAGCTGAAGATTAACAGTCTTAAGTCTAACCAACAGTGAGATAATTTTAATGTCCAAAGCACTTCTACCATTTATTAGCAATATTTGGATATTAACGGAAGACATTTGCCTTAACAAAACTATATTGAAAAAGACAAATGAATTGAAAAAGACAAAAGTACTATCCAAGAATTACAATAAAAAATTTAGTTAAGTTGGAAAACCTATCAAATTGCTTTTCTAAAGCAATTTGGTAAGTTTGAAAATCTAGCCCAAAACAAATTAATGACAAGTGAGTTTCTCCAGATGATTAAGAATGAAGAAAAACATACTTATGTAAATCAATAAATATGTTATTTCTCTCACCCTCTTTTTATGCTTTGAAAACTTGTTCTAAACAAGAACCACTGATACATCAGTTTGGCATTTCTTTTTATTTAGTCTGCAAATCTCTTAAAAAAAAAAAAAAGCAGTATTTTCCTCCTTGTACCCTATCTTTCTCATAACTACAACTGAGCTTTGTCCAGAATCAGAGGCAGTTTTTCTAGAAAAAGCCAATGATCAATATGCAAGATACAGTATTTTCCTACAGACTCACTCTGGCAAGAGAACATGACAATATAAATCAAATACATTTAATACAATAAAATAATATAACTCAAACTGCTTCTCATTTAATCCCCTTTTTGTCTGATTCTGTATTAGCTGATTTCTATCCTTAAAGCTTAAATTAGGGGTCAAAATCAGAGAATAGTTAAAAAAGAGAACAGTAGTTTAGCAAAAGTAAACTCAGTAACACAGTTAAAATTAATTGGGAAAGTTTTAATTAATAAGCATTCAAATGTACTTTACATTGATAACTGCAATACTGAATTTTGTAAAACTTTAAATATTTCCCTTAAAAAAGGTTAGTGATTTTTTTTCTTTTCGGGAAATGTGGAGATCCAACGATTATAGCATTAATGCAACCATTCCAGGTCCCTCAGGTTGAGTTAACATTAATATCTAAGTAAGTGTTCCCATTTCATGTCTACAATAAGGTAGATTGTGAACTTCCTGTATCTCTGAATTTTAGCAAAAATTCCACAAGATAATTTACAGTAATGTCAAATTTTTGGAGTGCAAACTCATACTCTACATTTGGATCACTTTCCTCCTTTGAGTGTACCTGACTTGAGAATACAAGGCAATTTTTCTTTCCTAAATCCTTGGAAAAATATTTTTGCAGTAAGTCTTGTGTCTTTTTTTTTTTTTTTTTTTTTTGAGATGGAGTCTCGCTCTGTCGCCCAGGCTGGATGGAGTGCAGTGGTGCGATCTCGGCTCACTGCAAGCTCTGCCTCCCAAGTTCACAATATTCTCCTGCCTCAGCCTCCCGAGTAGCTGGGACTACAGGCGCCTGCCACCATACCCGGCTAATTTTTTGTATTTTTAGTAGAGACGGGTTTTCACCGTGTTAACCAGAATGGTCTCGATCTCCTGATCTCGCAATCCGCCCACCTTGGCCTCCCAAAGTGCTGGGATTACAGGCATGAGCCACCGCGACTGGCCGTCTTGTGTCTTCTTTACTGTGACTGGGTTGTTTTTAAGAAAGGTTATTAGCTTTGTGTTTGGTTTCCCACAGTTGATAAAAATCTATCAAAAACATTGTAATTTGCAAGGAAAAAGGTTTTTCAAAGGCTGCAGGAACCAGAAAGAATTAGCATTTCTTATTTGTATAAACACAAACATTTAAAGCTAGTCACACTGCAGGTAAATCCAATACAGTATTCAAAAGTTCTATAAAAATGAACAAGAGATACACATTTACTTTCATTGCTCCAACAGTCAAATGTAAATCTGCATGAGAGTTGCGCTGCAGCAGTTCACCGGTCCAATTTAAGAGTTCAAGGTCCTTTTTGTACATCTGGCCCACTGATGTTCACATCCCAGATAAATTTTCAAAAGACAGAAATCAGGGCAAAGACTCCATATAACAAAGCGCAAGGATATGCTACTAAAAGTTGCTGTCCTTCCATGGCTAATGCAGAAATAAATATTTTGGAAGCAGAAAAACTACACCATCCAATAATCCCAGCAGTGAGAATGATTCCTATCATTCCTCTGTAACCAAGAAGGAAAAAGGGGGGAGGAGAAAAAAAAGCAGATGACATTAGTTATGTAAGAATACAACAATAACCTATTCTAAAGCATTTTAAATTTACATTTTAAAACTGCAAGTAGACGTATGCAGAAATAATCAGGATTTGTTTTTTCAAATGCTAAAATGTACCTCACAGTAAATTCAATGATGGCAAATCATTTCATGTGATAAACAGCTTTTGTTAAACTGTTTTACTTTTTAAAAATATAAGGTCTCTCACTCTTGGCACTACTAACATTTGGGCTGGATGTATCTTTGTTGCGGGGGCTGTCCTGTGCACTGTCAGAATGTTCAGCAGCATCTCTGGCCTCTACACCTAAGATACAAGCAGCACCCTTGACCCCCATCAGACATTGTCAAATGTCCCCTTGGAGGCAAAATGGTTTCTAGTTGAAAAAAGGGTTTTAGCAGAAAATAACTTCTGTAAAATTCAAATATGAATACACAAATTCTTAATGAATGAGTGATTTCTACACTGAAAATACGAAATATTTCTATTGAAAGCAGAAATAGTATAAAGCATCACTTTGCCAAATTTCTTGTATCAGACAAATAATTGACATATTTGTCTCTTCTCCCAAATCTCCACTTTAGCTTTCAAAGTGTAACAAAGCCTGACCACTGGTAATGTCTAACACTAGTCACAAGGAGGATTTTATATTGAGACCATCTGTACACTGGCCACAAGGAGGAACCTTATTGGCGGTAATATATACCTTTCCTTTTTTTTTTTTTTTGAGACAGAGTTTCGCTCTTGTTGCCCAGGCTGAAGTATGCAACGGGGCAATCTCGGCTCACTGCAATCTCCACTTCCCGGGTTCAAGTGATTCTCCTGCCTCAGCCTCCAGAGTAGCTGGGATTGCAGGCATGCGCTACCATGCCCAGCTAACTTTGTATTTTTAGTAGAGACGGGGTTTCTCCACGTTGGTCAGGCTGGTCTCAAACTCCTGACCTCAGGTGATTTGCCTGCCTCGGCCTCCCAAAGTGCTGGGATTATAGGTGTAAGCAACCATGCCCAGCCATACCTTTTCTTTTAACCTAACATAAAATATCATTTAAAAATTACACATACTTAAAGCTGCTTGCAAGTACATCTATCTGAGAAACACAGTAGGCTGATAAGTCTCTTGTCATAAAAAGATTACGTTTCATTTCCAGTTAAAAAGCTGCCCAATAGAGTATGTATTTATTACTCATACATTTGGCATATGTCCAATGGTTTCAATAAATTAGGTGGATCTAGAAAACACCAAAGAGCGTAAGCATAATTTGAACAATAATGACTTGACCTTTCTCATGTAATATTTAACAATCACCCTTTCAATTTGTTACTACTATGACAATGGTAAGTAAACACAAAACTAGTGAAATTCTTGATCATGGGTAAAACAGAGATGGTATAAAGGTTTTAAAATTTATTCTCATTACCATTGTTCTTCATCCAAAACCATTTGGCACCATCTCTACTACAAGAGGTACTATCTGATATGTTTGCTGAATCAGTGATTTATCTCAAACTGAAGATGAGGTGAATCCTACTACATAGAATTGGTCAATCAACCCCCAAAATAAAGAACAGTACTTACTGCAAAGAAAATATCACTGCAAAGCTGGAAAGCAGGATCATAGGCAGAAGACAATATCCAAGGACACTTGCCACACAACCGAATGAAACACCTGTCATACTCATTAAGTTTAATAAACAAAACATTCCTAGACATCCGATTGCACTGATTCCGTATACATAGCCAAACTGGATTTTGCCAGCCTACGGGTAAAGAAGAAGATTACAGGTTAAAGGGCAAAAAATAAGTTATTTCTGGCCTTATTTCACCTGAATCAGTATAGGTAGGAAATATTTCATGAACATCAAAATCTAACCTATTCTTTATGTAGAGAAGTAAAAGATTGAGCAGACTGGCTTGTTACATTCTTTGTAACTTTAAAGTACACAGATATTTGGTTCTCCATTTTCCAGTTAGCGTGCAGGCTTGGCACAGAAGTGAACAAATAAAGAGACAAAAGCATAGCAGAATCACTCAAAATAGTAAGGTTTCTAAAAAGAACTCTGAATGATTTTAGGCAAATAAACTAGAGACAAGAGGGAAGCCATTCAGAATATTTAAATAACAGTTATATCAGTTGAAAGTACCTAATTCCACCAAAAATGCCCCCAAGCAATTAAATCTCATTGGTGGAGTCGTCATAAACTTTCTAAGAAGAAATCTTATGATTCACTTTATATGGGTGTTAGAGGAGCAAGGGGAAAGGAAGCCAGGATAAACAGGAAGCCAGGGTTCTGTGAGGAGGAGAGAAGAAATGGCAAGAAGAATATAATGGAAGATATATATTTTTTAATTTTTCCAAATTATTGGCTGATTTACACAGTCCTTTGATTAAGACAAGACAACAATAAGCAGTTTAAGCACTGCAAAGATTAGCTAAATTGGAATTATCCTACTGCTAGTCGAGTTTGTGAACAACAAACTTTGTATTCAGGTCACACTATCACTAAAACCAGTTTACAAAAAAGCCTTCAAAAAGCTATTGATTTATCCAACTTTTGTCATACAAAACTAAATTAGGAGAATGCCTCTACAGTTTATGTTAAGTAAACAAATTGTTGGGACATTTATTAGATTATTTGTAAATACTTGACTAAAAGTGCAGAAGTTTGAAAAAGCTGAGTTCATTGATGAATTCATTCACGTAGTAATAAAAAAACTCACATTTGTACAGTGTTTTTCACTTTTCAATGTGTTCTCACATAACCTGTCTTGTTTCATCTTCAAAATAATCTTGCTAGGTAAGCAGGACAGGATCATTTTCTATGAGAGGAAACTGAAGGATTAAATGATGTGGCCAAGGGCAGATCAGGAGCACTCTGTTCAAGCCCAGCTCTTATGACTAAAAATCCCATCTTCTATACATTACAGTAGTTATCTCTTATTAATTCAGAGACATAAGATAAAATAAATATTAACAATTATCTTCACAACTTTTCTGTTTTCAATATGCCTTAACATTCTTGGGAAGGTGATAAATTGGGAAAATAATACATGGAAAAGTAATCATCAGTATGACTATAACAAAACATTAACCAAGGTTTAGTGATTTTTTAAAAAATATTAAAAAAAAAAAAGCAATAGCGTAAAAACTGTAAGTAACCTCTGAAAAGGCAGAATTCTAATGAGGGACTGAAGCTATACCTGTTGTTTACTATTTTATTTTCCCCTAATAATTGAATCATTTCTTAGAACAAGAAATGATTTTTAAAACATGCTACACTTACTATAGATGGAGAACTAACGAATAGGTATAAATACAAGCAACTCAGTACTATTCCAAACACATCAAAGACTTGAGGTGTAAAGCAGAGTTTCAAAATGGCTTTTGGTAGAACATTAAAAATTTAAAGGTTGTTCTTTAATTGCACCCTGAAGTTTGAAATGCAAATCTTACCAGTAGCAATGTGGCTCCAAAAGCAAGGCAAAAAACCATTGGTCCTGCCAAATCAGTTTCATTCATGATGCTGCCATCTGCTACTTTTAATGGATGTAATACTGTTAGTGTTTTTTGCCAGATGTGGTCAAAATTGATACCTAACTCTAAGGAGAAAGAAAATTTAAAAGTTAATTAGGATTTGTGATGTATTTTTAATTAACTGATCAAAATCTATGTTGAAATGGGAGACAAAATGACATAGATAGCATCAAAAAAGGATCTAGCAATATTGGATGACATTATTATTATTATCATTATTGTGGTAGGTTCTCTCTCTGTCACCCAGGCTGGAATGCAGTGGCATGATTATAGCTCACTATAGCCTCAAACTCCTGAACTCAAGTGATGTTCCTGCCTAGCCTCTTGAGTAGCTGGGACCACAGGTGTGTGCCACAACATAGAGCTATTTCTTTTCTTTCCTTTTTTTTTCTTTTTTTTTTTTTTTGGAGAGATGGGATCTTGCTGTATTACTCAGCCTGGTCTCCTGGTCTCAAGAGACCCTCCCAGCCTCGGCCTCACAAAGCACTGGGATTACAGGTGTTGAGCCACTGTGCCTGGCCTGAATGATATTATTTTAGTGAGTTCTCTATGCCAGTCTTCAATGTGGTGCTCATCCCACAAATATGTCATTTCTGGATTGTTGTTGGAAAAGGGTACAGATCTGATGAAAAAGACAGTTATTACATACCTTAGGCATGACTGCATAGCAAAGAATATACAAAAACGGTTAACAGTAAGAGGTTCTTTATCTGGGGCTTCAGGAATACCTGGGGGCCCATTTAACTGTATACAAAACTACGTCTCTATGCATATGTATGCATTTTTTCTGAGGAGAGTGTTCATACCTTTCATTAGATTTTCAAAGAGTATCTAGTTCAAAAAAAATGTTCGGAACTACCTCTTCCTAGGTTTTGGAATACAGTTTGAAAATCACCATTTTTTTAGTGATGTCACTAGTTCTGCCAGTTTATTTCCACATAGAATAATGGATACCATGCTTTTTCTTCTCACTTTTTCCACTAGTAGAATTTGGCCAATAACCTGAAGTAAAAGTCGATGCTGACAGAGTAATATACTTTATTATCACTATTAAAAGATCTATTAAAAATCTGGTCTCTTCTGGCCCAATGTGGTTTCACATATACTCTGTTTAAAATGAGTTGTTTAGCAGAAGACTTTTTTCTACAAGATTTTTTTTTAAAGGAAAATACAATTTCTCCAAATTAAGATTAATTTTCACTAACCAGCTGAATACTATTGAGTACTATCAAGTGTTGCAACCAATCTTACCTTCTAATAAAGGTGGCTCATCCTCAAAGCTGTTTCCATAGAAGGGCTGAGGTGAAGCTGGAGTATATGCCTGAGTTGGCTGGTAAATCTGCCCAGTGTATGGCTGTTGTGGCTGCATCATGTCTGGAGGGACAAATCGGCCTTGCTGCGAATAGTCATAGCCAGCATACTGTCTGTAAATGAAAGAAAGTCAAATTTTTCAGAAGTATTTCAACTCTGTACAGTTAATATCCCTTAAATTCTTAAATTTTCATTTGACAGCTAAAGAACCTTAGTTGTGCAATTACTAAGATACAAACTTTGCCAATTTTTATAAATCATGGTTGAAATGATTACTAATATCAAGCTGATTATCTACAATAAAAACTCATAATTTTTATAGAAAATCTTCTTAATGAAACCAATATTCACTTACGTAGCACTAAGCATTTTACCAACTGTTAAAGGTTAGGAGGTCAACAAATGAAAATGTAAAAATTGTGTCTATTTTTCTCCCTTAGTGGATATATACAATATGAAGATATACTATGAAATAAAATCTATGGCTAAGACTGAATGAAACCTTAGGATATCAAACTTTATAATACATGTTATATAATTTTTCACTGTAATTTGGATAGCCATTGAATCATCGTTCTTCTTTCCTCTTCATAGTATGTTACCTTTGGCAAGTGGACAAATCTCTTTAAGAAAACCATCAATTTAAAAACAGAGTGGACAAATCAAGTTTTGCTTTGTGAGCACTTGTTGAATATAACAAAACGTTTTTAGTACACTTTGCATTTGAATAATATTTTTTCAAAGTACTATTTCTCAAAGTAGTTATACACTTATTGTCTCATTTGATATGTGCTATAGCAAACCCTGTATCTAGAGGGAAAGCTTTATCACAGCTATTTTAGTGACAATGGCAAGAGGGAAGAGAAGGATACTGAAGCCACATCTTTAAACATCTGTTCCATCATGTTTTGAAAAAAATCCAGCTTACTGATGGGACTAATCTAATGATACACTAAGAAACACAGATGTAAAATAATTATTTTAAAAGATATTCTTACAAATGAGAGCTGAGAAGCCTTAGAAAACCTTTAGTCTAATTCCCATTTAAATTCTTATAGCCATAACGTCAGTTGTTTTCCTTGGGGTGAGGCTCTCTTTACTTGTTTTTGGGAAAATATCTGCCGAATGCTCAAGTCTGAATAACCATAGTTTATCTGTAGTTCTTTCAAATAAAAATGGTCTTCATGAAATAAGAGCCAGTTCAGCTTGCACAGGTGCTTTTCGTAGAGATAGTAATTGTACTTTAGTATGTAGTAAATACTAAATTTCGTCACAAAGAATATTAAAGAAATAGGCTGGGTGTGGTGGCTCAAGCCTGTAATCCCAGCACTTTGGGAGGCCGAGACGGGTGGATCACGAGGTCAGGAGATTGAGACCATCCTGGCTAACACGGTGAAACCCCATCTCTACTTAAAAAAATACAAAAAAAAAAAAAAACTAGCCAGGCGAGGTGGCGGGCGCCTGTAGTCCCAGCTACTTGGGAGGCTGAGGCAGGAGAATGGCGTAAACCCGGGAGGCGGAGATTGCAGGGAGCTGAGATCCTGCCACTGCACTCCAGTGTGGGCGACAGAGCAAGACTCCATCTCAAAAAAAAAAAAAAAGAAAAAAAAAAAAAGAAATATGTGTACTAAAGGGTCAGGATTTAGTAAAACGATAATTCTTACTGCTTCCTCAACAGAATCCTTAAATGAAATTGACTACCTGCCAACTCTCTAACAAGTCTATAGAGTGATGAAGAATACGATGACTACTAGAACAACTTGATGCCACTATCTTGATTCATATTTGGGTACCAGCAGTTTTACCAATCAATACTTTTGCAACAGCACTGCAAATGTTAACATACCTAAAAAGGTATATGATATCTTAGTATTGTTATGAAAATAACTTTGACCTTAAAGAATCTCAGAAGAGTCTCAAGGACCCTCTGTAGTCTACAGCCTAAATTTTGAGAGCTACTGATACAGACCCATAAATTTCATGTAAGGAAGAAAAATGCTGCAAGCAATTGTTTCAAAGGTGGCACCATCATTCCATCTTCAAGAGGAAAGGTGAGAATGACAACATCATAGAATTTTACTATTTTCCTTTTCTGGTAGGACCTATTCAGGAAAATTTCTGACTTGCTCCTGCTGGTTTTAAACTAAAACATGGTATGTGAGACATGATCTTTATAGGCTAAAACGACATACTTTCATGGCAGGAGAAGCAGCAGATACTAAATCAATGCTCTCATAAGTACTCTGAATCAATAACAAAGACAAACCCTCTTAACATATTGGGTTGGTTACCTAAGTTCATGGAAATCCTCAGATATTCCATAAAGATACTATCAGGCAAGTCAAAGAAGAAAAAAAATAACCTTTCATACTTTAAAAAATGTGACTTGGTATTATGATATATTTCATAAGCATATCTGGAATACAATGTGGAATCTATCCAATTTTCCATTCATATAACTCAACAGATTATGATCAAAGGGCCTTTTACACTTTTTTTAATTGGTTTTTTTTTTGGTGAATGGATATATGAATGATACTTGTGAAACACCTATAGAAGAAACCACAAAATGTTAAAGCTGACTTCATTATGGCAAATGCAGAACTGTGTACTAATAACAAGTCAAATTAAAAATGTAAAGGCAATGCAAGTAATATGCTATTTGCACCTAGATTTTCACCAATGGCGAGCATAAAGTTATTAGCGGATCTCTGTTACCAAATTAGCAAATCCAACAAAACATTATTTGGTTAACTGAGATGGACGTTTAAAATGTCATTAGATTGCAGATCTACTTGAAGGTACACAGAGAAGAGTCCAGCTTTTAAAAAATAAATCTCAGAAACTCAAATTTATTACTGTTAATACATTAGGGTTCTTGTTTTCCCAGGCATCATCTATAAACCCAAGTTTACAGCAATAATGGTTATATAATCACCCGGAATAAAACCTCTTCACTAGTACTGAAGCAATGCTTACTGGTACATGATTTGGTTGGAATGAAACTGTGAGAACAGTTAGCAACAAGTTGTTTAGAATATCTAAATTGTTGTGTAGAGATCTGAAATGACTGTTAAATGGAATGAGACTATAAGTCACACCTTTTAAGTGATGCAAATGTAGACAGGACAAAAAAGCAGAGATAAATAAATCTTGTAGGCTGCAATCTAAATGGAATAGTTCTGTTGAGTTCTAATCATAAAAATCATTCGGTTAAAAACAGGCCTGCATACAGAGACAGGTTCTCCAAAGCCCTGTTGCTGCTTTAGGCAAGGGTTTGTTAGATGGACTCTGTCTCCCATACACAAAGCAATCACCATAAATACATATTTAGGTAAATAAATGAATGGAAATATCTCAATACAAATTTTCCAATTCTGCCCATTAATTTATCAAAAGAGATAAATCTTCATTGGTATGTAATTAAGTAACAGAAAAGGGAAATGAATCACAGAGGGTATTCTGACATGCTCACTCCCATTGTTCATATGTGTTAAGTCTTAGAGGAGAAAATAAAGCCTTAGAATATACCAAATTAAGCAGACTCGAAGAGACTATAGGTTTCATAAAGGATAGCTTAACCAAGACAGACTGTATTATAGAGCCACACTGAATTTGAATTTTGTTTTGTTTCTTAAATTCTTGAGCACTCTAATCCAAACACATTCTTGTATTGCATGTTTCTCACAAACTGACAGATACATAACCTTCCCCTGCCCTCAACGTGGAACAGTCTTTATGAGGTTTTAAATTCGGGATCCATGGATGATCATCATATAACACATGAATTGTCTGAAGTTATATATGCACATTTATTTGGGTGTTTGAGTGAATGCATGTATTTATGGGAAAGAGGCCCAGTTGTAATAAGATTCTCAAAGTGATCTAGAATCATCTTAAGTTTAAACAATCCTAGTATAGGAAGCTCCTTTATTTGACAGGAAGTTGATAAGATTATCTCTAGGGTCCCGAGAAACTAAGGAGATGATATCCTAGGTGAGATTGCTAGAAAGCCTACAGTTCATGTATTTTTGTCACAAACACCAGGTACTATAAAAAGATCACTTTTTTTTTTTTAATGTTCAGAGGCTAATGGCTTTGAGTCAACCTCCTCAGTATGCAACTTATAACATGTGTGGTACTGACCATAAGGGTTTCAGAAAGAGGAGTAACGAGGAGTAATAAAAATGATTATCAACTGCTGTATGAAAATCACCTGATGATTCATAATAGGGAGCTTATATCATTAAATAATGTCACTAAGTACTTTCAATTAGCACTGATAAAAGTCTCAAGTTGGACTGATTTAACTACTACCAAAATATTTTAATTTTTCACTGTCCCATGAACTAACAGCCTATCTCCTAGGTACCTGAAGCTCCCATCATCATCTAAATACAGAAATACTGTTACTAGAAAACAGTTCTTCCAACAAGTTACTTTTCCCTTCATGGTACACCTGAAGATTTTGCAGAAGATACTCAACTCTAAATAGAGCAAGCAACTGGCTTCAAACCCAAGCCAGTGTCACATCTCTGTAGACGAAGAAGATTATGCATGAAAGATCATACTCCTGATAAAGAACATGTTCACACATTGTTTTAGGCAGAATCAAGTATTCTAAATATGTGTTTTCACTGCAATGTAGACTAAATTAATTGCCAAAGATGAAAAGTTACTTGCTATAGGGTCCTCCACTTCCTCCATAATCATAGGACTGCTGTGACTGATCATCGATGCTGTAACTTGTCTGGTAGAAATCCGTGTTTAAGTTTTCAAAGCCTGACATTGCAAATAATCTGTAATAAAAGAGAAACGGCAAATACTGCTTATGCCCAAGGTTCTACTGAATTCGCTCCTGGCAGTCTGCTTAAGCAAATACAGAACACAACAAATATTTTTTCAGTAATTCGGGGCGGGGGCGGGGGAGGAACGCAGCATTTGAAGGGCGGTGGCGGAGAGAGAGAAAGAAAATGCCTATTCTTTAAGTTGCGGCCCAGTAAGACAACTCCACCTTAAGGAGCTGATATGCCTTCCATCAGGGGCGAGGTCGTGGGAGTTGTGGTTCCATAAGGGGTCTAAAATATCAATAACAACAAAGATGATTTTTCACCTTAGGACAGGGCTTTACAGCTGACAACGCGACTGCTTCCTTGCAAAATAAGGCCCGCAGCCTGCCAGGAAAGTGCAGAATCTTGGAAGGTCGCGCCTGAGGTGCAGGGGCCCGCGTCAAGGCAAGGACTTGAACGGGAGCGAGGGTCTGAGCGTAAAGGACCAGGGCGCGGCGCCGAAAGACCGCAACAAGCCCATCTGCACAGGTGTGGAGAGAAGCTGAATAGTGTGCCACGGGCCTGGGTCACTCACCAAACTCTCAGGCTGCGCTGGCGGCGAAGGCAGTAGCTTCAGTAGTCCCAAACAACCCCCAAACTCTGTTTCAGACCCTGAAACAGCCCCGTTGCTACGTGTCACAGGGCCAAAAAACTGCTTCCGGAGCACGTCCGCTCGCGCAGGCGTGTTAGCAAGTTTTGCGCTCTCCTCTTTGGTTGGGCACCGGTGGGCGGGAGGAGGAGACACGAATATAGAGCATGCGTAGTATCTACCCCACCTGCGGCGGACCAATGCGAAAGAGGAAAGTGCTTCCGGCAGCCTGGTTAGCGTGAAACCAGGAAAGCGCAGGCGCAGCAATTGCTGCTTACTTGTGGGGAGGAGGAGGAGTTTCTCAGACCGAGGTGATGAAAGGCTGGGAGGCGCTCAAATGAGACAGCCGGAGCCCCCCTTTCCTGTCCACAAACTACAATGCCTCAGTATCTGCATTTATTGTGATTCAAGCACTGTGCTAAAGAGTTTGTATGTATTATTTAATCTTTACAACCTAATGAGATGGTTACCCTATTTCCCTGTTTTAAGTGAAGCTATCAAGTGTGCATTCTGTGCTAGCTGCTGGGGATACTGTAGTAAATATAAGCTAGATGACATCTACCCACCTGGAGTTGGTGGTGGAGTGGGGTAATCGAACACATACAAATGCGAGTGAAATTGCTGCTAATATTCTTTAGCGCTCCATAAGAGTAACATTCATCTGGGAGGAAGAGTCTGTAAAGCCACTATAAGAGAGTTAACGAAGGGTGAGTGGGAGTTAGAGAAGACGAGAAAAAAAGAGGAAAGGACAAGGGTAAAGGAGGATAATAGGTAAAAAGGTAAAGGGAAATAAAAAGGTAAAGGGAAAATAGCCTGAATATTTTAGGCAAAGAGAACAATGTGTGCAAGATCTGGGAAACATGGTCTGAGGAAAGATGAAAATCGAGCTCTGAACTTCAGCATTATTAACATTTTGGGTCAGAATGATTCTTTGGGTCATGCCCTGTGCGTGATGCTTAGCATAGCGTCCCTAACCTCTAGCCATTAGATGCCAGTATTCCTCATAACCAACCACCACCACCACCACCACCACCACCACCACCACCAAGTTGAAACAGCTAAAAATCTCTCCAGACATTGCCAAATCCAAATGTCCCTGGGGCGGGGGTGGGGGCAACATCACCTGAATTTGTGAACCACTCTTCTAAGTGGAACCTGAGTGACTGGAACGGCAAGTGAGGGGAGCCACATAGGAGTTGAGGCTGGAATAACAGGAAGGGGCCAGGAAATATCCTGTGGGATTTGTGTGTTGGTTCTAAAAGAAATGAAGATTGTGAACTGATGAGTGATGTTTAGATTGTTTCCTTTTGAAAAAGATTGCTTTGGCTGCTGTGTTAAATCACTTTCCCAAGGTGGTGGAATCCCAAATACTGTGACTCCAAATAACATGCTATTAACTAATGAGCAGAACTTTCTTCAGGGTTTATAGTAATAACATTTATCATGAGCCATTGCATTATATTCCGGTATCAAAATCCTGAGGCCCTCACAAAAGAAGCCAGACCATTGTTGAGGACTAGTTTCCAAAGGAACAATAAAATTTCACTTAAAATTTTTCTCTCAACACCCCCACCCCAATAAAACAAACAAGTAAAACTAAAACAAACAAAAAACGCACTCCCCTCCAAACAAAAATAGCAAGAACAAAAAGCTATAACAACCATATCAAAAAACCTAGGATTGTACCTTAGAAACCAACAGGCAGCTGCCCTTTGAGGTTTTTACTCCATTGGTGAATTTAATTTTTTTTATTTTTACGGATATATCATAGTTGTACATATTTATGAGATAAATGTGATATTTTGATATAGGAATACAATGCGTAATAATGAAATTGGGGTAATTGAGATGTATCTGTCGCCTCAAACATTTGTCATTGCTTTGTGTAGAGAAAATTCTAAATCTACTCCTAGTTATTTTGAACTATACAATAAATTATTGTTAATTATGGCTACCCTATTTTGCCACTGAACACTAGATTTTTGTGCTTTCTGCCTATATTTTTGAATTTCTGAAATTGCTCATTCAAGTGTTCACCACCTTTCATCAATCATTTTAGCATTTATTGGTTTAGGTATCATTGGCACAACTTTAGGTAGAATGACCACATATTATGATTTGCTGGAGACAATTCCATTGTCCCATTTTCTGCCTATTTTTCCTTACCCCCAGCATAATTATTAATATTGTTCCCTTTTACTCTCAAAAATATCCTAGTTCAGTTGATAAACTTTGTGATTGTACTTTCTTTAAGCTACATTATCCATGAAGCTGTGTTTCGAATCATCAACAAGATGCAGTAATCCATCATTATCTACTTAATCTTATGGTTAAAAAAAAATCTGGTCTGTCTTGTTTTTTTCTGATGTTTCTATTTCTTCTGAATCAAAAAAGATATCCCTTTCAAATTTGAATGGGCTACAAGAATATAAGCATTAAAAATTGTCCATTTAGATGCTGGTAAGGTTGTAGAGAAAAAGGAATGCTTATACACTGTTGGTGGGAGGGTAAATTAGTTCAGCCATTATGGAGCACAGTGTGGCGATTCTTCAAAGACCTAAAGACAGAAATACCATTCTACCCAGTAATCCCATTACTGGGCATACACCCAAAAGGTTATAAATCAATCTACCATAAAGACACATGCATGTGTATGTTCATTGCAGCACTATTCACAGTAGCAAAGACATGGAAGCAACTTAAATGCCCATCCATCATAGACTGGATAAAGAAAATGTGGCACATACACACCATGAAATATTATGCAGCCATAAAAAAAGGAATGAGATAATGTCCTTTGCAGGGACATAGACAGAGCTGCAGGAAATTATCCTTAGCAAACTAATGCAGGAACAGAAAACCAGATACCACATGTTCTCCTTATAAGTAGGAGCTAAATAATGAGAACACATGGACACCTAGAGGTGAACAACACACAGTAGGGCATGTTGGAGGGAGGAGGGAGAGAATCAGGAAAAATAACTAATAGGTACTAGGCTTAATACTTGGGTGATGAAATAATCTGTACAACAAACCCCTGTGATACAAGTTTATCTATGTAACAAACCTGCACCTGTACCCCTGAAGTTAAAAGGTAAAAAATTTGCCTGTTTTAGGAATGAATTATTAGATATAGATGTTCTTCAAATTCTACTTCTGTCTCTGAAAGCAATTAACATATTTATTTAAATTTTCCCCCTTGAATTTCTGCTCCAATTGAGAAGCCAAGCAAGAAAATTGAGTTACCTGATTGAGTTTTGCATATTGTTTATTTGACTTTGAGACATAAGCCAAAGTATCCTGCAGATGCCCATTAGGGATTTTGAGAACATCCACTAATTTCATGGCTAATCATGTAGGAATTTCATTTTGGATTTTTTCCTTTTTTTTTTTTTTTTGCATTACTCCCTCACTCTGGGATAGGCTTCAGAAAGTTATATTAAAGGAAACTGGAGTCCTTGGTAGATGTGCGGTCCTCTGTTAAAGTCACCCACTTGGCTTTATCAGGAGTAGAAAGCCTCACCTAGGTCAAGAGATGAGGCAACATGAGCTAGAGCTGTAATAGCTGCACAGTCCTTCCCTGGGACCTAATGTATCCATCACCAAAACAAAAATGGAAAGGACATCCTAATAATGAGTAATATTATTTAGTTAAGACAGTCACGCTAGTATACACATTAACACTTTTACATATTTCACAAACACACACAAAACAACTTCATTTTCTTAGTATGGCTCTGAAACTAAGGTACAGGCCCTGGAGCCAGACTGCATGGATTTACATTCTGTACTACTTACTTGCCATGGAGCTTCAGTAATTTATTTAAAGATATTTTAGAGTTGCCTTCTTTCCCTTCTGTTTTTTAGTTAATATGCCGTGGAAAATTATGCCAGAAAATTATGGTTTGAACATGGGCAGTTTTCTCCTACCTTCAGCTATATCCACAAGCACCACATGAAATGGAGATCTGGCAGCTCTGTGTATTTCAGTCAAGTTCCACAATGAAACCTGACAACTACGGTAAAAACCAAATAAGTGCCAGTGTTTGTTTTCACTGTCCCTGCATATTAACTATGTAACCTCTTTTCTCAAATATGACAATTATATTTCCTCTAAATTATCTTTTTTCCTTTACCAAAGAGTTTCCTCATCAAGTCTTCTGTACTAGGTTATTCAAATTCTGCTTCTGTTGTTTCAGTTATTTTACTTTGAACAATGAATAGTTTTGAGAAGATAGATTTGCCTATAATGGCATTGGATGCCTTTGTATAGAACTGGTTTTTAAAAGGCAAAGAAATTTAACCCTAATTTTATAACTATTCCTGGAAACTTTACGTCGGTATTGCAAGTGCTGCATGTTGTTAAAAAAAAAAAAAAAGTCTTTTAAAGATAACATATAAGCAATATTGTAAATACTGTAAATATTTTCATTGCAGAGATAAAAAATACCCTCTTAAGTAACAAATAAACCTTTCTAATATCAGGTGAATGGCTATTGTGGCTTGGAATATCAGTTTCAGTGAAGGCACTGAAGCACTGGAAGTCTATATTTCAAATAACTTGGGTAGTAAGGGAGATAATATGAAAAACAGCATGGGAGAACTCACAGTGGGCTCTAATGATGGCAAAGCCACTCATGCCAAAGGTAAAAATGAAGGATTTGAAAAATATGACAGTTAGCACCTATATATACTTCAAGCATTTGTGTGCCAAGCATTTCTTTAAGCAGTTTGTACTTTTTAACTCAACAACCCAGTGAGGTGGGTGCCCTATAACTCCCATTTGACACATGAGGAAATTGAGAACAGAGTAAGTAATTTGTTAAACATTATTATGCTAGAAAATAGTAGACTAGACATTTTGAACTCATTCCTGAGTCCTTATGCTAAACCACTAGGCTGTATTGTTATTGTGTTATGAAATGTGAATGTAGAAAAGTCAATAATTCTGATTAATATCCTAATTTATCTAAAATGTGATTACTGAAATCCATATAAATTAAAATTGCAACTAGACATTTGATAATTGCATCTGCGTCTCCACATGTATATATATTCAAATTGATAAAAAATATTTTCTGTAATGTTCTCATTGGG